ATGCATCATCAAACCTCTACTGCTCTTGTAGAATTCGATACCAAGGAAATATGAAATCTCACCCAAATCAGACATTTCGAATTCCTTGCTAAGGCCAACTTTGAAGTCTTTGATCTCACTCTTGCAGCTACCTGTTATCAACAGATCATCTACATAGAGACATAGTATAAGCAATTTACTCTTGCTTCTTCTTACATATACTCCATGTTCAGTTATGCACTTCTCAAATTCCTTCTCCCTTAGAAAACTATCAATTTTTTTATTCCAAGCCCTTGGAGCTTGTTTCAAACCATACAGGGCTTTATGTAGCCTGTACACCTTTCTTTCTTCGTCATGTTTCACAAACCCAACTGGTTGTTTAACATATACTTCTTCATCTAAGGGTCCATTTAGGAATGCACACTTCACGTCAATCTGACATATGTGCCAACTGTTGATTTCTGCTAGACCAACAACCAACCTGATTGTTTCGATCCTAGCAACAGGTGCAAAAACTTCGTCGAAGTCTATTCCTTCTTTCTGTAGAAATCCTTTCGCCACAAGTCTTGCTTTGTGTCGAGTTACTTCACCTTTCGAATTCGTCTTCACTTTGTATACCCACTTGACATCAATTGCCTTCTTTCCTTGAGGCAATTAGACAAGTGACCAAGTGTTGTTGTCTTCGATAGACTTTACTTCTTCGTTCATTGCTTTCACCCACTTCGAATTCTTTAATGCTTCAGCTGCATTAACAGGTTCGACATCTGCATAGAAAGCATAATGTACCAGCTCACCTTCATTATCTATTACATCATCTGATGTAATCACACAATCTTGCAATCTTGCAGGCATGCGTCTTGTTCTTTGAGGTCTGCTTGTACTGGGTATATCTGCTGGCTCCTCTTGTCGAACTTCTCTTTCGACTTGAGTTTCTGGCTCTTCGAATAAGATTCTCACTGAATCTTTCTTGACATTTGCAGTCCAATCCCATTCTTTGAACTCATCTATGATCACGTCCCTGCTGATTACAATCTTCTTGTTCTCTGGATCGAATAACTTGTAGCCTCCTGTCGAATGATATCCAACTAGGATCATTTGACTTGACTTGTCATCAAGTTTCTTTCTCAACTGATCTGGCACATGTCTATGTGCAATAGATCCAAATACTTTCAGATGACTCAAGCTAGGCTTCACATCAGACCAACATTCTTCTGGAGTAATTCCTTCTAGCTTCTTTGTAGGACTTCTGTTCAAAATGTATGTTGCAGTCGAAACAGCTTCACCCCAGAACTCTTTGGGTAAATTCTTGCCTTTCAACATACTTCTCACCATATTCATGATGGTTCGATTTTTCCTTTCTGCAATTCCATTTTGTTGTGGAGTATAGGGTGGAACCACCTCATGCACAATCCATTCTTTTTCACATAATCTGTCGAAGTCTTTCGACACATATTCTCCTCCACCATCAGTTCTCAAAACTTTGAGTTTTCGTCCACTTTGTCTTTCGACCATAGACTTAAACTTGGTGAATACTTCGAACACTTCACTTTTCTGCTTGATCAGGTAAGTCCATAGCTTTCGACTGAAATCATCTATGAATGTAACAAAGTATTTGTTACCTCCCATCGAATCCACCTGAATTGGTCCACATACATCAGAGTATATGACTTCGAGACTAGCCTTCGATCTGCTTCCTGCATCCTTGCTGAAGCTGTTCTTGTGTTGCTTCGCCTGCACACATTCTTCACATACTTCGTTTGGAATGTCAATTTCAGGCAATCCTGAAACCATATTTCTTCTCTTCAAATCTCTGATGTCTCTGAAGTTGAGATGACCAAGTCTATAATGCCATATCCATTCATCTCTGCTAGCTGCAGTCGAAAGGCACTTGTGCTCCATCACATTTAGTTCAATCTTGAAGGTTCGATTCTGAGACATAGGAGCCTTCAAGATTAATCTCCCATTTGCATCAACGACTCTCATCAACTTATCTTCGATTGACACTTTATAATTCTTTTCGACCAACTGCCCTATACTGAGCAAATTGCTCTTCATGCCTGGTATGTACAATACATTCGAAATTACTGACTTCTTGCCATCTTTCCTCATGATCATAACATCACCAATACCTTCAGCTGCTAGGGTGTTGTCATTTGCAAATTTTACCATATTCTTCGTTGAGGGTTTTATATTGACGAACCAGTCTTTCCTTCCAGACATATGTGATGAACATCCTGAATCCAAGTACCATTGGTCCTTGAATCTGTCTTCATCTCTTGTTGTGACCATCAGCATCATCTCTTCTTCTTCTTCATGTTTTGCCAGCTTTGCATCACTTTCTTTATTCTTTCGTTTTTCTGGACAATCACTCGAATAGTGACCATACTTCTGACAATTGTAACATTGAATGTGACTCTTATCAGGTTTTCGACCACCACCTCTTCCTCTGTTTGCAGCACCACCTCTTTGGTTGTCGTGGTGTGGTCTTCTTTGATTCGACACGTCTCCTTCGATTTGGTTTCCTCTACCATTCGATTTGTTGTAGCCACCTCTACTTCTGTCGAAATACTTTCCTTTGCCTTTGGTTTCTTTTGCTGAATGTGCCTGCAAGGCTACATCACTCTTCGATTTTCCTGCAGCTCTTTCGTTCATTCTTTGTTCATGAGATTCGAGCGTCCCTTGAAGCTCTTCCTTTGTCAATTTCGACAAGTCTTTCCCTTCTTCGATCGCCACCACTATGTGGTCGAACTTAGGAGCTAAGGATCTCAAGATCTTCGAAACAACAGCTCTTGTTGTTAATGTTTCTCCACATGTCTTGATTTGATTCACTAGTTTTGTAACTCTAGTGAAGAAATCAGATATGTTTTCATTGTCTTCCATCTGAAGCAGTTCATAGGTCCTTTTGTGAGTTTGTAACCTCACTTCTTTCACCTTCTCAGCGCCTCCAAAAGATTTCTCCAGGATCTCCCAAGCTTCTTTTGCAGATTCTGAATCACTAATCTTTTCGAAGTTGTCTGGGCTGACACATTGATGAATTATAAACAATGCTTTATAACTCTGCTTCTCAGATTCTGTATATTTCTTCTTTTCTTCTTCTGAAGCGTTTTCGCCAAGCGCTTCGACTCCATCTTTTACAAGGTCCCAAAGGCCTTGACACCTTAATAGGACTTTCATCTGCTTGCACCAATTCTCATAGTTGTCAACTTTCAGAATTGGCAGCGTTGCTGGATAGTTTGCATTCCCATAACTTGTCATCGTGAATTCTTCAATCGTTCTTGATTGATATTTCCCTTGAATCGAAACACAAGCTCTTGATACCAGATGTTGGAAATCCACCAATACTCTATGATGAATTTCGACCACCACTGATGATTAGTTATGAAACAAACTAAGAAAAGACAATAGAATTATTTCTGCAGAGTTTCTCTCTGCCCACAAACTGTGGAAACTTTATTAATTCACTTTGCAACTGCAAAATACTGTGAATGAGTTGATTACAAAATAGGGGTTACTCCATCTATTTATAGATTTAGGTTAGCTTGCTACCTAAGCTAAACCCAAGCCCAAAATATCTTTTTCCTTAATCAAATCTAATCAAATCTATTCTAGATTTAAATTCAAATCTATTTAAATCTAAACAAATCAAATCTTCTTTTGACACATATGAATTACAATTTAACAGTTCTTATTATTTAAAAAATATTTACTTTAAAATAAAAATCTTTTCATTTTACTTAAAGTAAGTTGATGAATTTTTAATTAGAGTACAAAATAATATTCAAATTGGTTATAATAAATAAATAAATAAATAATGAGTATATAACAATTTAGTTGTGAAATTAAAATAATTAAAATAAAAAAGATAAATAATATTTATAAATAAGTTAAAATTTATCAATTTCATTATCCATTTTATATTTATTTTTCAATTTACAACTTAATTACTATTCACTCATTATTTGAGTTTTTTCTCTTTATTTATATTATTTTTTTAATATTATTTTATACTCTATTTAAAAACTTATCAAATTTTGTAGTTTATCATAAGTGAAGAAAATATTATGATAAATTACACAATTTCATCAATTTTATTGTTCAATTTATGTATATTTTTTCGATTTACAAATTATACATATTCCCTGATTGTATTCTATCCACTAATAAATTTATTAATTTTTAAATAATAAGAACTATTTTTTTTATTACCAATTATGATTATTTTTTAAAAAATATATTTAAATTCACATTGTTTTTTATAAAAAAAATAGATATGAAGAATTACATGAGTGATTAGACAAAGCGAGAAAAAAATATTTTATTTTATAAAAGTATGATATTATGATTTTATAAAATAGAATTGATTTATTATTAAAATAAGATAAGATTATTTTAATATATGATATGAGAATTAATCAGACAATTAATAACCATTACATCTTAAAAAAATCAAGGACTAATAATGATTATAATAGTTGGAGTAAGTAATTGGTATAATTTGATCCCATATATATATATATATATATATATATATATATATATATATATATATATATATATATATATATATATATATATATATATATATATATATATATATATATATATATGAGATTTTTATCCTCAATTAGGGAGAAAGATTAAAAAAGTAATATAAATATATGTGATTTACCGGAATTAGTAATTAGTAATAAATGTAGGATTTTGTTTCCTAAAATATAAAATCTAAAATTTAACTATATAAATGTAAGTTAATGCAATTGTTAAAGAGAAGGAGTAAAAAACGGAAAAGAAAAAGACACTGAAAAAGCTCACAAACTTGGTATGCGATTCGTCTCTCTCTCTCTCTCTCTATCTTGTTAAAGAATGTGACATTATTGTTGTTTTGAATCTCATTGAACATGATATGTTGTTCTTTTAACGATGCTTCCTTCGTTTATGTTTTTTAAATTGTCTTTCTTTTTTCATCAACATCGTAGTTCAGGAAATGTTAATATTTTAATAGCCAGTGTTTTAACAGAAAAATGGGTCGTGAAAGAATATCTATGGAACTGATTCCAAACTCGAAATCAAGAAAGACAACATTTGAGAAGAGAAAGAATGGCTTAATGAAAAAAGTGAGTGAACTTTCCATTCTTTGCGACGTTGATGTCTGCGTGATTCTCTATGCACCAAACTTTGAAGGTGAAGGATTTGCAGAACCTGAAACATGGCCTAAAGACACAAACCAGGTACGAAGAATTCTTCAAAAATACTATAACACAGCAATTGATAGACGTCCTAAGGTCTATAGTGTTCAAGAGTATTTCAAAGAAAGGTTGAAGAAAGTCGAGTTTGAGATTTCCAAAGTGCGAAAACAAAGGCTAAAGATCATGCATCGGAGTTGTAATCAAGATTATGATTCTCTTAGAGGGAATGAATTGAAGTTACTTATTACCACATTGGATTCTAGGTTTGCTTCTTGCTGTCAAAAGATGGATATGCTTAAAGGAAAAGCGATTGTGGAGTCACAACCTAGTACTTCTTATTTGATCTCAAATCCAAGTAGTTACTTGAATCCTTTTGAAAGCAAAAACAGCATGCCTCAAGCACAAATTTATCCTCCTTTGATGAATGTAAGTGATAAAACTCCAACGTTTTGGTCACAACCTTCTTCGATTATTCCAAGTGCACAAGCTTCCTGCCAGCCTCTTCAATTAGGACAAAGTTCACAACCTTCTTCGATTATTTCAAGTGCACAAGACTTTTATCAGACTCTTCAATTAGGACAAAGTGTTGAACCTTTTTCGATGATTCCATGTGCACAAGACTTTTATCAGACACTTCAATTAGGACAATGCTCTCAACCTACTTCGAGTGCACAAGACTTTTATCCATCACTTCAATTAGGACAAAGTGTTGAACCTTTGTCGATGATTCCATGTGCACAAGAGTCCTATCAGCCACTTCAATTAGGACAAAGTGTTGAACCTTTGTCGATGATTCCTTTGTCGATGATTCCATGTGCACAAGCTTCTTATCCCTATGAACATATTGGTGCTAATATCACCTATGATCATACTAAAGACAATTATGGAGCTGGTCAAAACTTGTCACCATACTATTATTACAAAGGGAACACATCAATGCAATCATATCCTCCTGTTAATATGCAAACTCTTCCTTTCCAGAATATTCCAAATCTACAAGAATATGGATTTCAGCATTATGGAATCACTGATATGGATGTTCTTCAAGCTGATATGTTCAACAACATGGATGAAAGGAATTAGCTCATATGTTTCATATTTGTTTTGTTCTTGTTTGATAGTTTTTTCTTAGTACTTTAATATTGTGTACTTCTGGTATTAATTTTAACAGATTCCAGATTTTTTTGTATTATGTGACAATTCAATTCATACTAGTTTTTAGTACAAGATTGTTGAATTTGGTTTTACTTTTGTAGACTTCATTATCATTCATTTATTTAAAAAAATCTTGGTTTTTAATTGGAAAAGTTAACATGGTAATTTTCTTGCTATGGTTTTTTTGCTCAAAATTGAATGCTAAGTTATTATATCAAAGTCACCATGTTTCTATTGTTTTAAAGATTATAACTATTAACTATTGCTCTAAATTTAAGGTAATATCAACTCCGATGGATTAGTGTAATGAGATGAAATAGAGTGGAGTAATAAATAATAAAATTTTATTGTTTAGGTGTGTAAATAATATAAAAAAAAAAAAAACTGTTTCATTTCATTCAATTTTCTATTCACTATTACAAAAAGCGTTTTTAATGGTAGACGCAAAATGTGTTTTACCTTGGATAAAAAAACAAGATAACAAAGATCGTCATAAAAAGTTGTCACTAATCTTCGTTGTTTTAAAAACTATTTGCACTTTTATTATTTATTTGTTTTAAAAATCATTTATACTTTTATTATTTACAAAACTAATAGAAAATCCGTGCGTTTGTACGAATACTAATGTAGTACGCATGCTTTTATTTTCAAAATATAATAAAAATATAAGTAAAAATAATAATTTTTTTATCAAAATAATTTATTATTTTTAAAAGAAAGACATATTTTTAAAATAAAAACAAATTTGATTTTTCAAAATTATTTTACATGTGTGCGTATCATATCAATGTCCAGGTCAATAGATTGTTTTTCAAAATATTTTCAATAGGTTGTTTTTCAAAATATTTTCAATTCACTTATTTCTCACATTGAAGCTTTCAACTCACACATTGAAGCTCATCACAGAAGAGTGTTTATTTCTCACGTTGAAACTTTCAACTCACTTATAGTTAAACATATATTAAACTATTGCAATTGGTCCCAAATTAACTTTTGATTCCTTAAATGCTTCGAATCTTGGTTCTTTGGCATGGAACTTTAACCATGCATAGAGTTATATGACTATTATTAGACGAAGAAATATGAACATACCACAATATGACAGTAATTGTGTTATGTATTAAATTGAGTATCCAATCGCAATATGACAATAAACTAAGAATGTCTTTCTAGCTAAAATTGTAGTGTGTATTTTCACTCATTTCCATTTAAAATATGTATACTGACGTAAATGCAATAAATTTGCTTTCATAATTGTCCCAATTGTCTTCATGCCATGTTATTTCATTCTGCAAAAATAAACGGTTCAATAAGTACATGTGACTTCGATTTTTCCCTTTTTGAAGGGAAAATGACATTGTTTTTGCAGAACTAGTTTATTATAATGGCTTTGAAATATGCAACAGGAAAATCTTGTGGTAAAACTCCATGATCCTCAACAGTCTACAAATAAGAAGAATTTTCTGATGATTACTCTGATGATGAGGAAATGGCCTTTATCATAAAAAGGTTTCAACAACAGGCCAAAAGGAACAAGAGATTCTATGGTAGAATCAGTGACTTCAGGGGCTCTAGTTTCAGAGACAAAGATGATGACTAGAAGATCGGTTTCAACTGCAATAAGACTAGTCACTACAGAGCTGAATGTCTTGATCTGCAGAAGGACATATCAAAGAAAGGAAACTTCCAAAAGAACTACTTCTGAAATAGATTCAAGAAGAGTCCCATGGAAATAATGGATGAACTTGATAATGAAGAAAGCTCTGACAAAGATGAAGGAGAAGAAAACCTAGCACTGATGGCTCTCATATCATTCAATGCAGAATCTGAATCTTGCTCTAGTTCAGAATCAGAAGATGAAGATAGCAGCATGTGACTCATGACTCATTAAATATATAATATATTTTCTAGTTACTTTTGTATACATTCATACCAAGAGAAATTGGTGACGATATGTACCGCCAATCTTTGTTAAAGCATCGTACAGTGCGTAATTATTATATTGGCTCTTCTCTATTTCCCCTTTTGACGGGAAAATGACATTGTTTTTGCAAAATTAGTTTATTATTATAGAAAAATCACAATAGGGATGTAATAAATTTACCTGATCCCACATAAAAAACTAATGGTAGAATCATGCCCAAAACTATTTTTATTTCCATAGCAAGTATGGCCATATTCGTCTCCCATTAGCATCATTGGTGTACCCTGGTCATTCATTACAAAAAAAAAAAGGAATTTCAACTACAATCCACTAGACGGGAATTTCATCTGCAAATTCTTCTACATTAAATGAGCATCTCGATTCTGTCAAAAACAACATTCATCCTCCAAGATTTCATAAGTTGAGGCACAATAGCATTAGCCTACAAATTCCAAAGTTTAAAAAGAGATTAGGCTGGAAATTTTATTAAGGTGAGTAAAGTTACAAAGTGTTGCTAAAAGGGTATAGTTTCACAAACAGAGAGATTATTTACAGCAAGCTAGAATGGGAATTCATTAAAGTGTGTATCCTTTAGTTTAACCCTTATTCAATTTTAGTATCAATAAAACCACTCTAAATACTACTATTACTTATCCAATCTTACAATGAAAGTTTACAAACCTAATACAATAATAACAATTCACCTAACCCCTTTCACATTTCAATCCCATGTAATTTCTTTTCATATAACCCACATACAAAAGCAAAGCAACAAATCATTTACCAAGAACTTCAAAATCTACATTATCTTCTACCTCATTGTTAGATTGCCTCAAACAACTAAGAAAAATCAACCTCCATAACAAAACAATTCAATAATCAACCACAAGACAAAAAAAAATCTCACTTAACTCAACCAACAAACAGATACAAATCAAAGAAATTTCATAAACAAAAAGAAAAAAATCTCTTACCACATATCAGTTTCTCTAATAATATCATACTTTCCCCACAAATTAGTCACAGCCCCTTCTTCCCTCTCTCCATTTTCTCCTTCTTCTGTTTATGTTTTCGTTTATCTTTCTTCCTTCTCTCTTCTTCTGCAAAACAATATCTTTGTTAATCATGAAAGCTTCCTCAATTTTATATTAAAACACAATAAAAAACTTATAAATCAAAAATAACTGAAACTGTATATTATTGAAACTCAGCAAGCATTTCGAATCTGACCACCACCATACTCACCGCCGAAAATGCATTGCCGCCATCGCAGATCTACCACTGCAACACAGAGGAGGCAGAAAGAAGAAGGAAGCAAATTTGTAAAATGGAACAAAACATGAGCTTCAAATTGTCTCAATCGTAAATGAAAAAAAACTCAGAAGAACATGAATAATGAGATGATGCAGAGACGAAAAAACTTTGAAGAATCACACCTATGAACTTCACTATAGTTACATCGAAAAAATATCTTCGGAGTGAGGAACCAACATCTAAGAGTCCTCTTCCAGATTCTGTTTCTGCACAAAATAATAGAAAACAAAATTAGATCCAGATATTTTGACCTACATCATCATCACTTACAAATATCAAAGTAATTTTTCTATTTGATTTCAAAAAGAAAAAGAGAATGAAGGAAGAACAAGAAGAAGAGTAAGAAGAAAGAAGAAGAAATGGAAGAAGGAAGAAGTGAGTGAGAGAGAAAGAGAGAAGGGTGCAGAAAGAGAAAGAGAAAGAGAGTAAAAGGAATTTTTTATCAACATACCATCTTTTTAGCATTTAAATCCCAATATACCCTCTCACACTTTCATATTTCCCAATATACTCTCTTTTCAAACAAAACACGTTTTTGCCACAACTGATCCGCCAATGCAATGGGCGGAAGAGTGTATTTTCCTAGGGCACCGCACATGCATTGGGCGGATGCTTATAAAAAAAGAGAGGCTCCGCCCATTAGATGGGCGGATGTGTCCAAAACGTTTTTTTTTTTAATTCTGTAAATTAAATTCATATGACATTATAATTAAATAATATACATTTAAATTAAATTCATATAATTAAATAATATACATTATAAATTAAATTAATATAATTAAATAATATACATTATAAATTTAATTCATATAATTAAATAATATACATCATAAATTTAATTCATATAATTAAATAATATACATCATAAATTAAATTCATATGATTAAATACTATACATTTTAAATAAAATTCATATAATTAAATAATATACATTATAAATTAAATTCATATAATTAAATAATATACATTTTAAATTAAATTAATATAATTAAAGAATATACATCATAAATTTAATTCATATAATTAAATAATATACATCATAAATTAAATTCATATAATTAAATAATATACATTATAAATAAAATTCATATAATTAAATAATATACATTATAAATTAAATTAATATAATTAATTAATATACATTTTAAATTAAATTAATATAATTAAATAATATACATTATAAATTTAATTCATATAATTAAATAATATACATTTTAAATTAAATTCATATAATTAAATAATATACATTATAAATTAAATTAATATAATTAAATAATATACATTATAAATTAAATTAATATAATTAATTAATATACATTAAAAATTTAATTCATATAATTAAATAATATACATTATAAATTAAATTAATATAATTAAATAATATACATTATAAATTAAATAAAATACACTTTAATTAAACAAAATATACTATAAATAAACAATAATTTAACTAAAGGACATAAATTAATTTTTTGCATTTTAACATATATAATCTCCCCATCACATCTACTGTCGATTTTGACCGGGTCGTGTCAATCGTTGGTGAGTTCCACAAGCAGGTGCTCGTCTAGTACGTTGGCCTGTTCTGCGATTTCCTTCTTCATTTTGTGGTTGAGTTGAAGTTGAAGGTCCCGCGTCACAGCCGCCCATTAAAAATTCCTCAATCATGTCCTCGTTGGTAAAGTCTGTC